GCTATCGGGTGCGGACGGATCGAGTCGGTGTTGGTACTGGCGAAGGAGCATGCAGTAGGCACCGCGTAGCTGCGCCAGGCTACAGCGAGTGACCCTCGAGAGTTGTCGTTCCGTGGCTGCAATTGGAGGTGGATAGCCATCCAAAAGGACCGGGGGTGGTAGCTGAATTTTGCGACCACAACAGCTCTCTGGTGAAGACGTTGGAGGCCTGTCATGATGGCAGAGCCATCAATGGGTAGATCTGAGAGACATGATGCCACAGCTTCCTTGTGGAGAGCTCTAAGAAACGGTCGAACACTGCGGCTAGGTTCGGGGGCGTGGCAGCGGTGGTGATTTGGATGACTGGGTTGCGAACATGTTCGCCAAAACTGCCGACCTAGGAGTGCGTTGTGAGGGGCGATCGGCAGGACAGAGGCCTCTGCATGGAGATGATCGATAGGCGACATCTTGTAGCAACCCGAAATTGAGCGGAGGGCGGCGTTCTCTGCTGACCGGAGGCGGTGGAAGCTGGAAGAACTGATTTTAGGAGACCAGACTGATGCCGCATAGGTTAGATGCGGCTTGGCCAGCACTTTGAATGTGGTCGCTGACGTCTCTTCCGCGCAGTCCCAGGATGTGCCCGCAAGAGCCTTGAGGACCTTGGTGCATCGGTTCACTTTGCTTGCTATCCCCCTCGCATGGTCCACGAACGTGGAGAGCGGATCTAAACGGACGCCAAGGAGCTTGGGCTTACAGACCAGCGGTAAAGACGCACCGTTGACGATTGTGGTCAGTTGACGATTTTACTCTTTCGGGTCCAGTGTAAAAACAGTGACGGATGACTTGGCTGCTGAGATCGTCAACCCGCGCTGATTGAAGAAGTTCATGACATCAGGCATGGACTCCGAGAGGACCTGTGCAGCCTGATCAATGTGATGGTACTGGCAGAAGAAGGTGACATCATTCGCGTATGATACCACTTTCGCAGCTGCCGGAGGGAGTGGGAGGTCCCGCATGTAAACGTTGAACAAGGTCGGACTGAGCACAGAGCCTTGAGGAACACTGCAGGTCTGCTTAAGAGGCTTGGAGAGGTTGCCGAGGAAAAGGAGAATCGTGGCAGCCACGGATGTAAGCCGCCAACCATCGGACCAGGCCAGTAGGGACGTTCAGG